AACAGAAGACCTACCGGGCCATGTACGACTACCTGGCCGCCGACGCCGATGAGGTTTCCTTCAAAGACGGTGACACAATTGTGAACGTACAGGCGATCGATGAGGGCTGGATGTACGGGACTGTCCAGAGAACCGGCAAGACGGGCATGCTGCCCGCCAACTACGTGGAAGCTGTCTAACCCGCGGCGCCTCCCTCTCTCCGTGAAGCGCATCCGAGTGTAAGCCTCGGAAAAGGCTTTGTAAGGCTTTTCCCAAAGTGCCCCATCTTCCATGTTGATAGTGCCCTAGGAACCGGGAGGTAAAAAGGAGAAAAAAAAAAAAAAGTAACTGCAGAGCAAGATGCCGCTGGGACAGCCTTTCTGAGCATGGGACATGCTCCTCACCAGAGCTGTTCCTTCCAGTGTCAAAAAAAGGGTTGGTTTTTTGTTTGTTTTTTAACCGTTGCCAGGACTTTCAAAGCTTTCAGCACCGCGTGCCATCTGGGTGTTGAGCTGAAGGTCTGTACCGGTGCTCCAGACTACGCCTCCCACCCCCTACTGTATTCATTCTCCCACCAGGGGAGGGTTTTTCGGGGCTGTTCTAAAAGGTTTAACTGTAGTCACTCCTTTTCCATGTAAGCAACGTTTAAGCTTAGGATCTCAAAGCAACGTCTAGCTGGGAGGGTGGGGAGGGGCAGAACAACCCCCCAGCCTCTCCCCTGCTGCTTGCTGAGCTCTTGGGCACGTGTTTCCATGCAACTGTTCCGGGGTCAAACGCTGTTGTTACTTCTAAATTAGCGACTAAATAAAGCTCCTGTTTCTGCAGTACGTTTGCTGTATTCACTCCTGCCGAAGAGCAGGAATCAACCTCGCAACCCACGGGGCTTTGTTCAGAAAACTGGGCTGAGAAAGGGAAAGAACCCAGGAGGGCCCGGCGGATGCGACAGCCACAACGGGAGGGAGGGGCTGCGAAGGAACCGGGCTAATTGTTTAATTTCTGAGCTGTTTGCTTCACAGACTCACAGGCCGCTCTGGGGTGGAAGGCACCTTCGGAGGCCATGTAGCCTGGTACCAGCCACTATCCAAGAAGGAAGGAAGTAAGAAATGGCCGTGTGCCACGTCCCAGGTAGACCAGAGCTTAACACCAAGTTAGCGCCAGGTAGGAGGAGCTGCAATGCGAACGCCGAGGGCCTACTCCGGAGCGTGTCACCAGGTCCACAAGCAGCTGCAAGGGGAAGCCTCCTCCTCAGAGCAGGATTCAGGAGTGCCAGCACTGAAGCGGGTTAGGGCAGCAGAGATGTTTCGAGATGCATTAGGAACACCCTCACCTGTGCAGGGGACTGGATCCAAGCCACGGCGCAGCTGAGGGCACCAAAATAACGTTTTTCCGGAAAGCAAGAAAACCTCCAGCCCCCTCCCGGCTGGCGCTGTTCACGTTACAGCCCCGAGGCGCCTCTTTGTCCTGTTCGTTTCCTTCACGAGATGCACAAACAGGGCCACGAACATCTAGAGCCTTCCTGAGAGGATGCTACCGCGTCCCTGCGGACCTGCTCCCACCTCAGGGTCCCTCCCCACCCTCTGAATCCAAACCGGAGGGGAAAACAAAGCGAAGCCCCAAGCCCCCAAACCACCACGCCATTAACAAGTTTGGGAACGATTTGCTGTTTTATTTGCCCGTGTGTAAGTAAGTTCTAAAACCACCTGCAGCAATTCCTTTCAGCGAGTGCCCGGCCCGCTGGCTGCAGTACAATATATACACATCAGATTTCCAGAGTAAAACCTGAGAATCCTCTCGGAAGGTCTCTGAGAAGCAGCAATGCATTCCATGCAACAAAACCTCAAAAATCATAAATTATTAACCACCATTTGCCGTCGTTAAGTCTGTACACAATATACAAGGAGCTCGCGTCAAATCCATTCGTTTCCCCACGGAAAAAGCCGTCTCCAGCGCCGGAGAACTGCTGCAAACAGAAACGGGTAAAAGCCTGAGAAGTTCTGCAAAGCCTTTCCGCCTGACGGGGCCCAGCAGCTGCTCAGGGGGAGTCCTACAAAAATAGATGCAAAACCAGACGTCACCCGGTCGTCAAACACCGGGCTCCCGCACTGTTGCTGCTTAAGGAATTAAGCTCAGCTTATCGCAGCGTAACACGGTGCTGAAGAGAGCGCCGCTGGCTGTCCGAGCTTGAGCAACTTGAAAGGAAAGAAGAGAGGGGCAGCAGCCGAGCAGAGCCAGGAGATGATCTCTTACCAGACAGACGCGTTTGCAGCAGTAAGAACACTTTGGATTTGAAAAAAAAAAAAAAAAATAATTTAACTACTCTGTTGGTTTGGTTTCACAGTCTTTGCTATTGCACAACTTCATCGAGTTTCCTTTCACTACCTGAAAGAAATATGCATAGCAATACAATACAAATACCTCTCCTAGGGGCAGGAGCAATCCCGCAAATTAAAAATGAACAAACAAAACCCAATCATGATACCATTTGCTCATACAGGTGTTAAAAAAATCTTCTATATAGTGCAAAACGCACAGGTTCAGGAATAATTCACCAGTAAGAAAAGCAGGTTTGGGGGAAAATTCATGTAACAAAATCCTCCTTACTTCGAGATCATAAGCAACTAATCAGAACTTTCATGGGGGGGCGATTTCCAGCGGGACTGCAGGTTTTTCATGATACAGTTTGTCATGCCAACCAGTTTTTCTTGCATCTCAAACAGTTGGCTTCCTGAGTAGCCATGAAGCTCTTCAGAGGTCAGCTGGGCAGCAAGGGCGTCGATCTGGCTGAGAAGATCCGCGGCGGGCTGGTCATCCGTATTCAAGGCAACTGGTTCAATCAAATCTGGAAAGGAAGGAGAGCAGGGCAGCGCGTTTGGGTTTCGATCCAAGCAGAGTTACCTCGTCGCGGGACGTTACAGCTTCTTTTGTACCAAACATCCCACTCAAGCAGCCTGCAAAGTGCCTGGTACACGACAGGAGAGCTGCTGACAAAGGCAGCCCTCGGAACTCCACACCACCCTTCCCTCTGGTGCCTTTCCCTGTATTTGATCGTGACTGCAAAATAAAACTAAGGACAGAAATGATCGTACTTGACTGTATCAGGATACAGCCAGTGTCACAGAACCCCAGCATGGCCGGGGCTGGCATGGCCCTCGGGGGAGCTCCCCCAGTGCCACCCCCCTGCCCAAGCAGGCTCACCCAGAGCAGGGGGCACAGGACAGCGCCCAGGCAGGGGTTGAAGATCTCCAGAGAAGGAGACTCCACAGCCCCCCTGGGCAGCCTGGGCCAGTGTCAGACGTGTTGGCCCAAAGTCCAACTTTCAAGCTGGACAGCTGAGAAGTTCATAAAGGGGCAAACTCACACACCCATCTGCCGCGCCAGCATCCGCTATTGATGCGCTCTCAAAAAAAACCCCCCAAAAGTCAAGTGTCCCCCCTAGGAGAGAATGGAAGCAGCAACACGGCAAAACATCCAAATACTAAGCACAAAGCCAGCAATAGGTACCTGCTGCAAGTTTTTCTTCATCTACAGAAAGAGATTTATCCTCTACGTTATTTACAGGCTTTTCTGCATCTTCAAGCACTGCGATTTCCTCAAATCCTCGAGATTTTACCTGAAGATTTTTTTGGGAGAGAACAAGAGATGCATTTTCAGAGGGGGGAGGGGGAAGGGAAATTAATGGTAGGACATGTTTTAGCCTCATAATAAATACAATCATTATTCCCATTAATAATATTGTAACCAAGTCATCTGGACCTGGAATTCTCAAGTTACCCTGAGGGGCAGAGATTCCATTTTAAAGCGCTACTTCTAATGGGGAAACCCACCCGTTATCCCTCATGGCCAGTGTTAGCAGTTCATTAGGCTCACGTTGGCTTTTGGGACACTAAAAATCAAGCTTTACCTGTTGCTCATGATATCCTTTAAGAGCTCTTTTAACATTGGAAACTTTCGGCGAGCGGATGGGAAGAGTTTTGATTTCTGATGCTGTCAGATTGCTCAGGTCACCAACCGTCTTGATGTTCTTTGCTCGAATGAGCTGCCCCAAGCCTCTGGCGCTGAAGCAGGGGAGAAAGAAAAATAGTTTGTTACGCTAGAATCCGTGTCCACAGGGGAAAAGAAAGAAATCTGATGTGAATGCCAATTCACACGCAGGCAAGTGAAGGAACAACCAAGGGCAAGCGGCGTTCTCTCTGCAGCTTCCTCTCCATCCACCAGGGAACAGCGCCCTAAGGCCCGCTCCTGCCCAATGCCCCTGGAAGGAAAAGGAGCCGAGTACCCGGGAAGGGGCCGTCCTGAGCAGTTCCCACTGCACGCCTAGAGTTTGGCGTGACAAGTTACTGAAATTCAGATGGGAAGCCAAGCTGGCTGAGCACCCGGCCTCTGCACAGTCAAAATGGAGGGGTTTTCCTGAAAATTCCACTTCAACACGCAGAAAGCTCCAACTGCTTTGTCACAGATCATTAAGCCTGCTCTGCCATGTGCAAAGGAGAAAGCTCCCTACGCTCCTGGCTGCAAGCGCTTCTCATGGCCTTACAAGAAAGACGACTTGAATAAATTCCAAAACAGTTAAGCCTCTCCCTCACCAAACCAACCCTCCCTCCTTTTAGAGCTTTTGGCAAAAGATGTCTCCAAGTCGTCACACGTTGCATCGGAAGATTTGGTTTTGTACAGAAGCGTAATCTTCCAAAAGCACCAATCCACTTACCATATGTTTGATGTAATCTGAGGTAAAATCACATCGACCGGTGCTTTGCAGCCAGCTAAGGCAGGATACACACATTCTGTAGGGCAAGGCAGCAATTCCTTGGCCATCTCCGTGATCTTGAATAATACAGAGGAATTATTAAATTAACTATCACACAGCTGAATACAGGAAAAAAAAATAGAAGAGAAACATGAACCAAAGCACTTCTTACTAAACACTTCTTTGAGCTCTTAAATTTAGGGTTACGAGATCCTGGGGACAGAAATCCTTTGGTTGGAGTGGTAATATGCTGGATAGAAAGAGAGGAAAAAAGATCTCTCAGGATCGCAGGAATTCAGTTCATTGTCAGATTCTAGCTACCGAGATCCGAGTGCATTTGCCTTCAGAGAGTAACCAAATGAATCTGGCTAAACCCGTTACAACCGTTGCCTACGCTTACCAGTCTCTGCCCTTACAATCGCTCGCAAGTGACTACGAACACACACACTGTCAACGCTACCCGTGATAAACGAGAGACACGAGTACTTATGACATAGAGAGTATACGGAACAGGATTTACCTTAGCCTGAATATTAGATAAAATTTTAAGACTTCGGGAAGATGGTGAAGAAGAATGGGATCTAACGACAGGACTTCTCCTATCGATGTCATCTGCCAGCCCTTCTTGATAAATTGGGTCTGCAAAAGAGACTCGGCGAATCTGGTTTTGGAGAGAAATAGTTTTTACCGTATGAACTCAAACCACCCCGCGCAGGTGAAGTAAGTGAAATTGAAATAAAGTCATTCCAGTTCTTCAGTGACACAGATGATGTTTCACCCCAAGGACAGAAACTGTGGTTTCCTTATTACTACAGGAAACACTAAATGCGTTTTGTAAAAAGCTGCTCAAAATCCAGGGGCAACCCTGCCTATGAACGCAGCGGGTCTGCAGTAAATATTTAGCAGCAGACTGGACTTTGGCACTCTGTTTCGAAAACAAAACTCCCCACCCCGAGCCCCCAGGATGCAAGCCCGACAGTGTAAGTCTGTAAGCATAAGATCACTTGTAATTAAAAAAAAAGTCAATAATTCCAACATATTTGGAAGTCATTACACGACAGACACTGTTACACATCCCAGGTATGAACTGAGCGACCCGTGAGCATCACAGAATGAATCGCGGCGCAATACCTTATTGGCGGGCGACAGGGAATCATCATCTTGATTTCTTTTCACACCTCTCTTTAAGATACTAGTGGATGGGGAAGCTGAAGGAGACCACATGCAGCGTGCCTGCATGCCATTGGGGCTTTCATTAACTAACATTAAAGAATCCTCATCTTCCTGCTTTTGAGGTGAATCCACACCGTTATTTTCTACTGCGTCTTCTTTGTCTGAGGCCACGTTCTCAGGCACTGTAATTTCAATTTCCACTAATTCCTCCTTCACCTCTTTATCTTGAATAATGCAAGTTTCTACATTGTTCTCAGCTGCTGCTTCACCATCCTGATTGCTTTCTAGCTCATTCATCAGTTCGTTCTCAGGTTTGCTAACAACAATCAGCGCCTTGGGCACCTCCTCCAGTTGTCCGTTCTGGCTTACGTCTTCCTCTCGTGCAGCTGCTGGCTCTTCGCTTGGATCCCCCGCGGCCGGGCAGCAGTCCCCAGGCTCATCTGAAACCTGCTCAGACGGACGGTCTTCGCTTTGGCCACTCGGATCAGCAGGTTCTTTCACTTCCACTATCGAGTCGCTCATTTCACTTGCTGTATGCTCCGGATTGTCCAGATCCTCCTCTGCTCCAACACCATCTCCTTGCAGATTATCTTCCGATGTCCTCTCTCTTTCCAAGTTAAACACGCCGGAGTCCTTAGGAGGATGCAGCGGAGTGCTCATTGCACACGGTGCCATGGACAAGCTCTCATCGAAGTTTGAGTTACCAGAGAGCTCTGATGAATTTACAGACGTCTGAGCTGCGGTGGTGTGGGGCTCGTTCAGTTCATGAGTGTTCTCAGTTTTTGAATCGGTGAATGACATCACTTGCCGCTTTGACTCTTTACAACAGCAATCACAGTTCCTGAGTCTTTTCAGCCTCTTGCTTCTTTTGAGCTGACACTCGGGTACTTGCAAAGAGGAAGGATCACCACACGGAGCGTTTGCTCCTGGTACGCCTTCAGGCAGAGGAGTTGAACAACGGTCTTCTATGCTCATTTGCTTCTCAAGGTGTTCTTTTTCCTCTGCTGCTTTCAAATCCTGATCAGATGCACAGGGGCTGGTGAACGATTCCGTCAATCTGTTGCTCTGGTTTTGTTCCACGTTTGCGTTCTGTGCGTCGGGTGAATTCCCGGGGCTGGCACATCCCGCAGCTTTGCTAGCATCTGTAGGAGTTACTTGGTTTTTCAGGTCACAGGGTTCGGATGTCAGTGCGGCATTCGTGCTGACTTCATGGCTTAGTTCTCCTTTACTTTTTTCCAACAGATGCTTGGCTTCGTTTCCTTGGGAGGACACCTCATGGCTATGGCTTCCTGGCTGCAGATCTTTCAATTTACCTTCCAGAGAATCACTTCTGTTTTTCACTTTTGCAGACCTCTTCTTCCTTGCGCTTTCCTCCTTGGTCTCGGAGCCATCAGCCTCTGAATTTTCTATGCTGGAAAGCAATCCTTGTGAAGCTCTCCTCGTGTGGTAGCGCGGCCGTTCAATCTTCTTCTGACCCACGGTACTCGAGCTACAGTCTTGACCTTCCGTGTCAGCCTTCATGTTATCTTCTGACCTCCTAGCACTTTTGTTCGCTTCCTCGTCAAGGCCCCTTGAAGCCGGGGACTCCTTTGAGCTTAACTCCTCTGCAGCAGGTCTCTCGGGTAGGTTGCTTTCTTTATTTGTATTTTCCACAGTTTTCCCAGAAACCGCTTTCTGCTTTTGGGACGCATCGTCTTTAGTCTGTGGCACCTTCTTTTGCACAGACTTTTCGTCTTCCTTACGACTGTCTCTCTTTTGGTGGCCATCTTCCTTATCTTGGCTACCTGCTGTACTTTCCAGAGTTTCTGACCGTCGTCTTGAAGAACGTCTTCGTATTTTCTGATTAGGACACATGTGTGGAACCTGACCATCGTCCCCTGATAGCTGGTCAGATGGCGCGGTCGTCTCTGGGGGTGTATTTTCTTTAGACTCCATATCTAATGCCTGAGCCTTTTCCATTTCTGCTATCGAATCTTCAACTTTTTTGATTTCTATTTCCGTAGAATGGAGAGCTTGGGACTGGGCAAGGAGAATATGTTCCATGTCGTCTATTGCAGAACGTAGTTCAGGACTGTTTTCCATACTGCTGGAAGCAGAAGACTCTTGTGCGCTTTTCTCTTGTTCGGACCTAAAGAACAACCTGGACTGCTTATCTCCTTGGTGCTCCATTTTACTCTGCCTGCGAGTTAGCCTTCGTATTGCAGTAAATATTTGTTCAGACCCAGATTTTGGAGGCTTTTTATTTTCTTCTCCAGATTTTTCTGGTTTAGCACCAGTCTTGCTTACATTTGCGTTTTCCTGTTTACCGGCCGCAGAAGGGCTTCCAGACGTCTCTGATAAACTGTTCAGGGCCGAGAGGCTAAAGGGTCTGTTCTCTGAACTACCAAATTTCTCCAAAGTGATAAAAGACTGCCGCCGGCTCGCAGGCTGCGGCGTTCCAGAAATTACATCACTTGAAGTTGAGCTGTTGCTGACGTTTGAGGTGTTTTCGTTCCCGATCAAGGGCTCCTTTGAACCTGTTTCCGCAGTACTGTTCTCTAATCCCGCTCCATCCGGTGGCTCCTCCTGAATCCCTTCAGCTGCAGCCCTTTTTGACCCTCCCTCACTGTTCAAAGTCGAGCTCTCCTCTGCAGGGGTGACGGATGGCTTCCTCACACCAGCAGCATTCTCAGGAGGATTCTCCGATTTGCAGTCCTCTGCGATTTCGTCCGATTTGTCGGTGCTTCCTTTGCTCTTGGCGTTTTCTTCCTGTCCCAAAAATATGAACACCAAAGTATTGTAGTCTTGCTATGAATATAATATAAAACACATCTCTGGTGGAATAGAGAACACCACACCCACAAGATTTTTCAAACCACCCTTCCTTCGAATGATTTTATTTTCTGTCCTTTGGTAGTTTAAAAAGACAAAGTTTGTACTTGTTTTTGTTTTTTTAAAAGCCATTTAATCTCAAAGCACGAAGAACTGCAAAAATGTTTTGAGTTTTGCAAGAGATATTAACAAACCTACTCCTAAAACATTTTATGAAAAATCTGCTGTATTTTACCTACTGTCTGTTCAGCACTACAGTTGCTCAGGCTAGCTCCTCTCCAAAAGCGAGCAGTTCTAATTTAGGATTTACAGTTTCAGCCCCACCCGCATCCAACATCTATGATTTAACCCCCTTCAAGCCCTTACAGCTTCACCCCAAAGCAGTTCTGAACGCGGAAGCACAGCTCAGCTGCCTAAAAGCATGGTCCGCTAGAACAATATAAAAATCAGCATTTAAAAAAAAATATGTCACTTCCACTTTTCACTTTTAAAACCACAAATGGTTCCAGAAATGCACGATGCATACCAAACGCATCTGCTGGGGGGTGTCTGTGTGTGTAGTATTATGGGAAGACATCAATGTTATGATTCTTAACACAAAGCCAGGCAATTAAACAATTCCTAGAACAGCACCATAGCGACTCACAGCTGTGCCACAGCTTTCGGCTATTTTTACCCCAAATAAAGTATCTGTCATTGGTAGCAGATACACCTGACTGCTCCGTACGGCCCTATCATACCTGTAGCCGTGTAAAAAAACTGAACTTAAATACATCCACACTAAAACTAATGGTATAAATCCCCCCATTTTGAAATTAAGTAAGTCAAAATGCTTAATGGTTAGCCCTGTCTAGTGGAAATTCTATAAAGCAGACCATGGCACGAAGAACACTGCGTTGGTATTAAGTTCAAATCCGGCGAGGAGAATGAAACACAAACTCCAAAAGCTATCGGGGTATTCTACAGCCATAGGGGCTCTGCCAGCGTTATCAGACGTGGAAAAAACAGAGGAAGCACAAGAAAAAGAAGATATTCTCCAGAGTCTTACAGGATAATCAATACAGAGAAGGAAATCGTTCCTGTGAGCTGATACATTTGGGGGCACTTTTTTTTTTTGCTTGAAGAGTTTCCAAGTCAAGCTTAAAACCACACCATAGCCAGTAATCAAAGAGTTTTGCCATTAATTACCACAGCTACTAATATGAAAAAAACCGTCCCCGGTATGGTTGTAATTCTGGTATCTTAATGACCATCATATCTTAATCAATCTTAGACAATGAGAAATTACCTGAGGCTTGGGGTTAGCATCTTCTTTTGTGTTTCCCGTTAAAGATGACTTTTCC